AAACAAGGTAGAACAATGATCCCACGTGCTATTATTACACAATTTGTATCCCGATATTTCTTTCACAACTTTCTCGTAATCTTCGAGACGTTTATCGCGGCAAGTTCTCGCGAATCTTCGCCGGTCGGAGTTCAAGCAGCCGTATCTAACTTGGATTAGTGCCACTTGCGCGCAACGCTTCCGAGTATCGTTCATACACGGGTTTGTTCGGCGAAGTTCGCTCGTTATAATCATTCCAGATGTAATCGTTCGATCCTCGGAAGAAATTCCAGCACGTCGTGACCGTTCGCGCACAACAACCCGATGATTCGCACGTGCACGTGACGAGTGTTAAAAATCGAGAGTCGCGGATTCGAAGGGTCCGACTAGTGGAAAGCTGGCCAAGCGCAATGAACTCGGCCGTTTGCCAGTTATAATCGGTACGTGTGGCTGCTACCGGTGGTCAACAATGATGGCTGACGATGAATGAATTCGCGGCGGATGCAAACAAACTTGACTGACACGCGAGTCGCGTGGAAATCGTTGCCAAGAACCAGAGGAACATCCGTCCAGGTGACTGACATACCATGCACAACTCCACTTCTTGAATTTTTCTTGAAATTTCCCGAAATTACTACGTCAAAACGTAATTTCACATTTGAAACAGATTTCTCCAACATTTAGACTTATCATCACTGAATGATAAGATTTTTCTTGAACTGTGGAATAATTTATTAGAAAGGTGTTTCATGTTTGATAAGTGTTTACTGTTACGAACTCTTCATTGATTCATTCCATTTTCTGATTTTTTTTTTCTAAATTTTTGTGTCGAAACGTGTCCCACGCTTGAAACAGGTTTTTCTAACAATTAGGCTTGACACTGCTGAATGATAAAATTTTTTTCAAACCGTGGAATAATTTATCACAAGAATGTTCATCACTTCTTTTTTCTAACTGTGGAATAATTTATTACAAGGATATATTACAAATTTTACAAAGAAATTTTTACTGTTTTATAAGTTTCTTTACTTTCTGTTTTATAGAGTTAATCGATTTATTTCGTGTATAACGTTGATTGCGTTCGAGATAATTCTATTACAATTTCTTTGTCAATATATTCTGTTTGTTATAATATTAATATTTATCAGTTGATTGTTATGCTTAATAACTGATTACTACGTTTAATAAACATTTACATGCCTGAGAATCACCAGAGAAGAAAAACAAGCTTCAAAAAATAACTAACACCCCAAAACATCACAAATGGAATAAAAACTAGATAGCTTCGAGAAATATTACATATTTAGAATTGTAAAATATTCTAAGGTTATAATACACAGCCAAATTATAATGCAATGAGGAAAATTTACAAATCAGAAAAGATTTGAATGTAAAACGTACCGTACAATAAAAACCATGTACATAAAATTAATGAACAGGATTTTCGAAATTTCTATAATTTTTAATTTACGTAGGTTATTGATCAATGTGATTTCTGAATAGCTCCGTGAATTAATGAATCTTTACATATTATTCATTACAATGTTAATATCTAAAAAAATATTCATTATTATTGATTCATTAATGACATTCTAAGCATTCATTGTTAGGCAAAGACCACTACGAAACACTACCGAAAAATGCAGTCAGAGGTGAAACTCCCCCCACAATCGTTTGGAGAGTCGTTGTTTTTTTTTTTTTTTTTTTTTTTTATCCAACGGATAACAGAAGTTGCACAAGTCCGTCAGAAACCAAGTCTTCGTTGTGTATCGTCGATCGAATCGAATAAGCATCGGTAAACAGCGAATGGAGCGTATGAATACTCTGATGGAAATGTAATATTTATTCTCGCGTCGAGTATTTCAGCAAGCAACGTTTTTTGAGCGCGCAAAAATACCAACAATATTTGATTTTCCGTAGCCATACACTGAAATGCCAACAATGTAAATAATTATATTTTCCCTTGTTAATATCGACCGACCGCAGGGAAAGGAAAATTTCATAAAATCCTCTCGACGAAGTTGGATAATGTTGGACGAGTCACAGTAAGCTAAAATTACTGGGAAAGTGGTTGAGAATCAATTTTTCACTTCAGGTGCAATAAGAAAGAAAAAATTTTCACTGCGAAATGGAAACACTTTAAAACTTTCAAAATCCAAAATGTTATTTATCTGC